TGAGGGATGTCGCCGAGAAAAATCCTCTCAGCGACGGAGGAGAGCAGGTTCAGCTGTCAATCAGACTGGGATCCACGTACTTTTACTTTGTTCTGCCTAATGAGCTCTTCCACTGCTTTAATTTGGTTACATCTAAACTAACCTTAAAGGGTTCTCAGGAGTACAAGAAGCCATCACAGGCTCCATATGTGTGCAGTAGGTCTTAGTGTATCCCAAACAAAAACATAAAGACAAATCCCATTTTTGTGTGTCAATATGTATGCTAAACCATATATTTGCCTATGAAATAGTAACTTCTTATTAACAATAACTGAAGAAGAGTAAAAGGCTCTATTTTTTGTTTTACTGTTCTTTATATTTAGTCTGCTTTATATATTTATACAAACAAAACATTCAAAATGACACGAATATATTCTACTACACACTATACAGCGGACACATGTAGCTGCCATTAAAGCAACTGTAAGATAAGCCTTTATTAGTCCCACAGAGGGGAAATTACAAAATACTACACTACTAGTAATACCCTTGGATATGGGTTTTCATTAAAAAATAAATGCACCATGAGGAATAAGAGTCACTGCCCTAAAGCCAGTTGTTTGTCCACCATTATGTTAGTACAGCACTGAGCCTGCCATGGCAACCCAATATGATAGATGGCTTAAAATTCTACCAAATATGAGATTTGTTAAAAACCTCCCCATAATTACAGTAGCCACTGGAGATGTGCAGTATTACATTTCCTGCTGATTAATAGCGGATTAAGCGTGGGATTAATGTCTAAATAATGAATATAAACACAATTTCCTTCATGTTATTTGAATTGACTCCTGGCACTGACACCTGTTTTAACAATTCTGTGTCAGTGCTTCATCGATTGGCAGTCTCACTTAGTAATATTTACAGCACATGCAAATAAGGTTGAGCAGATAATGAAGAGCACTATGAAGCTCTTGTATCAGAGGACACATTCGGCGTTTTCTCACTCGTCTGTTTGCACATTAAGACACATGAACGGAAGGGCATGTGCACAAATGCTTTAAATAGGCACAGGAACACTAATTATATGATGTAGGGAGAGGTGCCTTTCTCTAAGCATAGAAATTTTTTCACACATGGCCATTATAACAGAAGCTGCAGTCAGACACCATCTCACCGTGCAGGACTGACAATTCACGAATGGAACCCTTCATCAGCGTCAACAAAGTCAAAGCTTATCAATGATAAGGGAATTACCTTATCACTGTTTACCTACAATAATCTATATAAGAGCCAATTCTAAAGCTTTTATTGTGTCATGTGAAAAATCAATTACTAAGAGTGAAATTTGTTTATAATGCCGCAGGTAACAGCAAATCTGATCTGTTTTAGAAATAATGTAGCGTGGTATTGCAAATCCCTGGCGCAAGCTCAAGACTCCAAACCATTTTGGAGCCACCTCACATTCAAAGACAAATTAATACCCCAACACTTCAGCTGTACGTTGGGCAAGCACTTGAGCATTCAATGAGATAATAGCTGCAGTTCAGTGGTCCATCCACTGTTTCTCAGCTCAAAGGTGTTTTCGCACCCAATGCATGTTTAACAAAAAAGGGGATTTTCTCTTATTACTGATTGTGAGTGCCTCCTGAGCTGTGAATGAGCGGGGAATAACACAGACACAGACTGACAAGAAGACTAAAGCTTGACTCTAGAGAATAACATCAGACCTTCTTTAATACTCTAATGAGGGAAAACATGAAGTGAGACTCATCTCTGATTTTGATGTGTTTTGACATTATTTCAGAATCAATTCAATTCAAATTTGAACAGAATGTTTTTCCTGTGTTGAGTGATAAGACACATGTGACCCTTTGCCTTGTTTCCATGGACACATCATTAGAAAACTTCCCCAGCTGGCCCAACTGCTTGAAGTGTCGACGGCAAACAACAAGTGAAGAATTTAGTTAGGAGCAAGACAAAAGGAACACCGACTTTCAAGTCCAACACTTAGTCTGATTAAAGTCCTACAGCTGTCACATAATGGAACCATTACAGTATACTGGAAATTAATGCTTTTTATGTTTATTTGTTTACTTTATAAGTGTGCTTATTTTTTGTACTGTTAATTCTTCAATGTCATATAAATTAGTTATAACTACTTTGATGGACTCCAATCTTAAAATATGCAGCATGAAGAATGCAGTACCAATCAGTGTCAAGCCACCGCGCTATCTTACCTTCAAATCACACTCATGTCTTCAATTTTCTGAGTCATTCAAAGGTCATTCAGACACTTACTGTATTCATTAGTCGTACTGCCGCAACTTGAGATGGAGATGCAAGTCAGTCTTCTTTTCTTTTTCTTCTCTCCAGTACATATGAGTCATACCAGTGCTATTCTGTAGAGAAGAGAGGTGTATTGCATAAAGTAACTTGTATTTGATGCAGGGATGAGCACCGACATTTTGAGGGGCTGTTGCTCTAACCTATAAAAAGGGCAACCCCCGATGAATGCTCAACCAAGAGGATGCCCTGGGAATAGAAATCTCCACATATGCTTTGGAACAATGTGCATTTGTATCATGTTGCACAATATTGCCTTATATTTGCTGCAAGTTACATGATCTTGCATGTAGCCTGCTGCCTATAAGTTAGCCAAGTAGCTAGTGACATAACATTAATTTATGTCATAGCATAATATAAAAAATATTGTGATGCAAACATAATACCTAATACAAGTTTGGGTAATATGCTGATTTCATTTGGTTTAACTTTAGCGATTATGGGCTATTAGTATTTATGCAGCAACAACAGCAAAACAAAATGTTTCTCTCCAGTGAGGCAGCTCAGACAAAGAAGGAAAATGGGCTGTTGCTCAGACAACTTTAGTTCGGCCTTCTTTGATTTGTTGTCATGTGGCCATATATGTTTTTTATTGTTTTATGATCTGAATTACATTATATTTACAGTTATTTTGCCCCAACCATTCTGCCTTGTAAGTGGAAGTGGCAGAATGAGCATGTGCACACTGATCTGGTGTGTTCAGCACATTACAGATTAATACAGAGAACCACATTCTGCTGATCCTGCCATCCACATTACAGCTCATTCCAAACTTGCAACAATGGAGGCAGCAACACATTTCCGGTGCTGTGATCATGTAAACTGTTGACAGGTTAGAAAAATGCACCCACTCAAATTTTACCCATTTAGGTCAGTGATGAACAGCATAATGCTGTTTCCAAATCTTCCAAAGCAGCCGTACTTAGGACCTAAAGAAGACAGGATGTTTGTGTACAGCCACCCAGTGGTGAGTAGTGTGTATGTACTGTGCCTTGAGTGTTTCACACACACTGTCACTAATATCTAAGCTTTCACACACCAGGAAGAATAAAAACAGGCTTACTGTTGGAGTGCTCCCACAGTGACATCTGACAGAATACACTATAAAACTATCAATGTTACTTAGTGTTTACAGTATACAGTTTGTTCCATCAGTGAGAACAATCAGCTCTTGACAAACAATTGTCACTCAAAAATCAGAACTCATCTCCCAAAAAATGCTGTGTAGTTATTGACGTGACAAGCATAACAACAGCACTTTGAACACACTCATGTTGTATAATTTAGGCATCTGAACTACTTACATTGTGAGTCATAATGGCGCAACTCTTCCTTGTGTATATTTTTTCACATTAGCTTCATTAGACATCATTAAACCCAACTGTCCTTGTGATATTTGTGGGTGTATTTTCTCTTCTCTTCTATCTTTATCTTCTCCACCCACTAACCTGAAAAGGAAAACGGATGATTCATATTGATTAAATAGCTACTTACAACTAACAGTGTTTCCACTCTCAGGTCCACTTTGTTTAATTATACATACCCTGTCATTATGGCAGCAATCTGATTATTTAGTTTCACACTTAAATTGTGCAAAGACATGGACACACAGATGAAGTAGTGCCTTTACACTTTATCCCCATGCCCCTCTCTTATTATACATACCAACTGCACACATATAGAGACACACACCCACATAACTATAACACATCCATAAAACAACACATACACAACATTTTTTTTTTCTTTTTCTCTTCCCGTGCTCGTTGTGCCTCCCTCAGGCAGAATAGTGAACTGACAAAGAGCAGTCACACAATGACACAATTTATTTTAATGCTTTTAATATTTTTTTATTTGTTTTGACATATGCATGGTCTTCTATTGTGGTCATCTTTGATTAAACATAAGATGCAACTTTCAAAATGCAAGGGTCCTAAGAAGTGAGCAGGTACTGGCATTTAGAATTTGCAGTGGTGCAGTTTAATGATCTGTTTCTGCAGTTCAGGTTGAAATAAAACTACAATAATGAGAGTCAGACTAATGTTTGTATACTGGGTTAACTTTCAGATGCACTAAGCACACATCCCACAAATGAATGCTCACGTGAATATGTAAATATTTAAATGAAGCATAATAAATACATACATACATATAAAAAAGATTTAGTAATCTATTAACAGCTAATTCATGGCAGAAGCAGACAACTGACATGCTCGATTTATAAAACCATAATTTACAATACAGCCTTTGGTGTGATGTCAACCCAAAATCTATATCTGCACCTGAAAGCAAGAGAGGATATATGAGTCTTTTTGCATGGAGGGTTAGTTCAGTTATATTGATACAATTTTTGTGGCTTTCTTATTCACATTCATAGATTGTCCTGATTGTGTCGAGCAGGTGCAGCAGAGAACCTTCCTTAAAGCAATGTAGCTGTTAAAAAGAGAACATCTGTTTATTTATCAGTTTGTACAGCTAAATTATTGAGTTGACAATTTAAAATAGCTGGCTAGGGGGTCTACATTTTATATTTAAACTACTTAAAAAGAAACAGGGTCAATAAAAAGAACAGGCTGCTGCTCTATCTCCAGTCCAGCAGGTGGCGGTAATGCAGTTGTAAACCAGAGAACCAGCTGCCAACACAAACAAGAAGAAAAACAAGAAGAAGAAGAAGAAGAAGTAAAACGACTGTGCTATTTGGTAGCTTAGCCCGAGTGATCCTGCAAATATGTGACAAATGTGAGGTTAACCACATTTCGGACACACTCTCTACTTTAACTGCCATTACCCGCATACCATGGCGGACTACCAGTTTGTTTTTGACACGGACAAAAAGCCGAAAAGGACTGTCGCTGTTCCTGTTGCTCTTGTTGTTATTGCAGCTAGCGCCAGCGTTAGCTGAATGAGCTAACAGCGCTGTCTTCGCTCTCAGTGTAACCCGATGTTGATTCATTTCTGCGGCCAGGAAACCGCAAACCGAGGTAACTCTGGAGCAAGTTGCAGCCGTAAACAACTGACCTGAGCAATGTTTGGGTCCCGATTATTTACTCGTTGCGTAATTGGCCGTAGCCAGTTTTTTAGGCAAGGTTGTAGTGAACGATTTGCTGAGGTTCTTTAAGTGAAATTAACCATCAACCGCAGAAGACGCCTCAATTAAACATGGTATCATCAGCTAAGGTTAGCTAACACGCCTAATGCAGCCTGCACCGTAAGCTTGAACGTGAACTAGTTTGCGTTGTTGCTGTCTAAATGTTTGGAGATGGAGCAGCAGACAGCAGCCAGTGAGATGGCTCTCGTTCTTCACAGCACTTCTGTCTGAGCTGTACGTCTGTGAAAGAAGAAATCATGTCTTGCAAAGCCGCAACCAAGGACAAGAAGTCCAGCTTCAGCAAGAAGCTGTTCAGGAGAGGCTCTGTGCGGTCTGTGGGCAGTTTTATGAGCAGAGTCCTGAGGACACTGACAGCGTTGTCTCACTTTGGCTCTGAAGTGCAAACAGAAGATGACAAAGATGATGGAGGATTTTCCACGTTTAAACCTGGAAGTAAAGATGTGCCCATGGATGATGGGGACCTCGGGAGTTTGCTGTCCGGAGACAGAATTCCTGGAGTGTCTGGTCTCAAAAACCACGGGAATACCTGCTTCATGAATGCAATTCTGCAGTGCCTCAGTAACACTGAGCTGTTTGCTGAGTACCTGGTTTTGGAGCACTATAAAGACGATGAGCTGGATGAGGACAAACCAAAGACAAATGGTGTACATCTGCAGAAGAAGGGCCCTCTGGCCAAAGGAGAAGTTACAGAGCAGCTGTCAGGACTTGTGCGGGCTTTATGGACCTTTGAGTACACCCCCCAGCATAGTAGGGATTTTAAGGTAAATTCATTATCTGCTACTTTGCTAGTGCATGCCGACAATGCCAGTACTGACCCACACCACTGCCGCACAAATAACATTCAGGATCAGCTAATGAAACGTAATGACTGACAGTACACGGTGTTTTGACCTTGCATGCATTGTGATGTTTGGGACACGCTGTTTGTTGCAGAATGCCGTGTCAAAAAATGCCACCCAGTTTAAAGGGAATGCTCAGCACGATGCTCAAGAGTTTCTACTGTGGCTGCTGGACAGAGTACACGAGGACCTCAATACTGTCAACCCCAACAGCAGGCCTGCGATAAAGGTGAATTGTGGGGCTTGTTACGGGGATAGTTTGGTGTTTTATTGAAAAACACAGAATGTATTTGGTCCACAAATACAGACCTGAAGTTTAATTGAGAAGCGGACATTCCCCCCTCATTGCTCATCCATACAGTCCTTGGTGTGTGGAAAGCTCGCAGGTGTTTGAATTACTCTGTCACTAAGCTAGGCTTGCCTGGTCTTGTTTCCTCTCAATCCCAAGGCACTAGTCAATAACGTCAAGATTGTATGAAGACTTTCACAAGAGCTTATAAATCCTGATAAACAGGTATTATGTATGACATAAATGTAAATCTGACTAACCTGACCTGTTTTTGTTCGTCCAGCCACCTATTGAAGAAGATGACCAAAGCATAGAGGGGCCATCTCCTCCTCTCTCTGCTGGGTCGTTTGTACAGGAGCTGTTTCAGGCTCAGTACAGGTTGGCCTTATGTCCAGTAAAAGTAAATTTTTTTTCACAGTATGGCCACATGATCTCTCTGCTATATTAACAGATTTTATTTTTCAACAGGTCTTCTCTCACCTGCCCACATTGTCAAAAGCAGAGCAATACGTTTGATCCCTTCCTCTGCATCTCCTTACCGATCCCATTACCACACACACGGTGAGTTACTCTCTTGAGCTGTGTTACTGCATGATCATAACAGTTCTCAGTTGTCAGGTTTTTACATGTACTGCATTCACCTTGTAAACCAGTCATAATTAATCACTTGTACATAAATAGACTAAACATGTACTGGCTAAAACGATCTTTAATGTGGTTTTCAAAAAAAGCTGTTCGTTTTTGTGTGTGTTGACAAGTTTGTGAGAACCTGTATGGTTGCAGAAGAAGGAATGTAACCTGGTGTGTTAGGAGTGTGTGAGGGGTTGAGAGTGCAAGAGGAGCAGCAAACAGTTGTGGGAGGAGTGTGCACTTTCAAAGTTTCAAACCAAAACAGAAAAATGGATCTCACAGACATGTCAAAATGTGTAGGAGGAGGGAAATGATTTTACACTGTTACTCTATAATGAATTAATGTCTTTAAAGCGGGAGAACTTGCATAGTAAAGTATGTTATGTATATACTTGTTTTTGCCAGGCCCTTGTATGTGACAGTGGTCTACCAGGGGAAGTACTCTCACTGTATGAGGATTGGAGTTGCTGTTCCCCTCAACAGCACTGTCTATCGCCTCAGAGATGCTGTGTCACGTGAGACCAAGATCCCAATGGACCAGGTGCTATTCCTGTCTCTTTATCAGCTCAGGGTCTGACACAGTGAGACTATGTTACAGTCACACAATGTTAGCGCACTGTTCTTAGAGCCAGTTCTACCTCTGAACAGCAGTTTATCATAAACCCAGGTTTTTTTAATGTATTGGACTGCAGAGAGAGAGACGTGTTTGAACACAGTAGTCCTCAGGGCTGCAACAGCAACTGTGTGTGAACAATGATTAAAGCTGGCAGGATGAAAATGCCACAAGAGTAAATATCAGTGGGCTAAAGCAGGATAAGAAGTGATATGGTGTTGCCTGTGTTAGTTTTGCAGTAACGGTATAAAACGTTAAAAGGAACTGTTAGTCATAAAAATATTTTTTAAAACATACTCTTTTTTTTTCTTTTTCAGTTTGTTTTGACTGAAATGTACTATGATGGTTTTCATCGTTCATTTTGCGATGATGATGACGATCTTGACATCATTCAAGAGAGCGATTCCATATTTGCCTTTGAGACACCAGAGACCTTCAAACTGGAAAACATACGCACAAAAAGAGGTAAATCATACTTCATACTCATCTGCCTTTTTTTTTTTTTACACTAAATTAATAGAAGAGAATCTATGGAGATTGTTTTTGTATCTTTCACAGGAAGTCTTCTGGCAAACCTGAATCATAACAACTTGAAGTATGGAACAGAAATCAGCAGGACGCCGTCTTTCATGCAGGGGGCCATGACTCCTTTAACTGCATCGCCCAATAAAAACCTGGGACCAGAAAAAATTATCCTTCTGGTGTGTAACAGAGCTTGCAGTGGCCACCAAGGAAAGAGGTACTACAATCAGAATTTTCTATGTTCTGTGGTAACTTTCTGTTCT